GTGTATTTGTGTATCTGTGTGTGTATCTGTGTGTGTGTTTGCTCAGTCAGATGTTTGCCTGACACTTTCCTCTGGCTGCTTTTGTGGGCAACACTTGTTGGCCAAGAAGTTTTCTTTCCTCTCTTTTTTGTGTGGCTTCTTTTTCTTCCGTCTTCCGTCTTCCGTCTACGGTCTTCCGCCTTTGACTTTGACTTTCGACTGGCTCTGGCCACAATAATGAGCGCACACATGGCATACTCGTATGCGAAAGCCAACAGGATGTTAATTTCAATTTAAATGCTCGACAGCCTGGACGCCTCCTTAGCTACAGCCTCGGGCCATATGGCGCTCCTTTGGCTCTCCTTTGCCATGTGTTTGGAATGTCTCAAGCTCCCAAGTTTTGTCCACTTTTGTCCACTTCCTTGACTGGCCCCAAACAAACTCTTTGACCTCTGCTGCAATTGCATTTGAGAATTCCTTTTTGCCGAAACAGCCTGCGGCCTTGACTCTGGAACTGGGGACTCTATTTTTGACTTTAATTGGATTCTTTGTGCCGACTGCGACTGCAACTCGAACTCAAAGATTGAAATGAATTCATTTTGTGTGTGGCACATACACAGAGTGTGTCTGTTGACTCTCTGCCACTTTATGTGGCACTCTCTCTCTCTCTCTTGGTTGCTCTCTTGCCTGCTTCCTGCATGATTTTTGCTTCATGAAATTAATCCCATTTTCCCAGAGAGAAAGATCTTTGGCCACTCATTTTCGCTAATTAAAATGGCATAAGCCAACACAATCCCCCTCAGACCTCTTAAGCGGGTGTGCGGAAAATGAAAGGAAATCCATTTACATTTATGAATTATCGGTTCGGTTTGGTTCGGTTGTGGCACATAACACACCGTCATGCCCTCTGCCCCACTCTATATTGGATGCCACATAATTCACATATCGAAAGTCGAGGCTAAATCTTGTCAGAAGCGCGGAAATCACGTTCCAACGGAGCGAAACTTTCGCTGGGGCATTATTGTCTTTTCAGCTAACCCAAAGAGAGGCATGCCACACCCCGCCCTACTGCCTGCTGCCTGCTGCCTGCCATCGTGGCCACAACAGCTAATTAACGTTAATTTATTAAATCAGTGAGTAAGTAAAGGCATCCAGGAGGAGGTGGCAAGGAGCAGAGTGCCAGAAGATAAAAGTTGCACACGACTCGGCGAGCTTAAGCACTTTGCTTTTGCTTTTGCTTTTGCCATGCGGCTGGGGGGTTTTTCTTAGCTGGAAAAGCATGAAAACCACACGCAGCAATTATTAATTCAATTATTTTAGCGCAAACACAGAGCCACGGCACCACCTCAGAGTCTCAGAGACGCAGCGGAGACTCCTTGAAGATGGGATAGGAAAGCTGCTGTGTGGCATAAATGAGTTCTCTGCGAGTCGCTTCGAGTGTGTGTATCTGTGTGACTGGATGAAATAGAGTAGCACAAACACAATTAAGACAACAACAGCAGGAAGAGAACTGAGCAGGAGCAGAAGCAGAAGCAGAAGCAGGGAAGGAGAGGATAGAAAAATAAATGAGAGTGGCACAAAATAAAGTGAGGAAATTTAATTAGGATATAAGCAACGAAAGAAGAAAAAGAAATGGCAAATGGAATGCCAGTGAAGGGATACCTGATGATGGTTGAGGTCCTGCCGCACACACAGAGACAGCCGCAGCAACACGGATATGTGAATTAATAACAGCATCCGTTTCCGGTGCACCCAAAAATGGGTGCATGCCCCAAAAAAGAAGGAGCTGCTGCAGCATTATAATAATAATATTAATAATGAGCCGAGCGGAGTGGCCAAAAATGTTGCATCCGACGAGCCGGAGAACGGCGCCAAACGGCGGACAACGTGTCCGTAACAACTTCCGGAATAAAGTCGGAGAACGTTGGACATTTCATTGTCGCATAGAAGCGCAGGGGGAGCAGGGGGAGCAGGGGGAGCAGGGGGAGCAGGGGGAGCAGGGGCCAGCAGCAGGGAAAAAGTTTCAATTCCCCAAAGCGAAATTGTAGGTAGGAATTTTCATTTGCTGCCAAAAGTTTTACCCAAGCTGAAGTTAAAGTCACCTGCAAGGGTTCCCAAACTATATAATGGTGGGTGGGGCTGGGAGTCCCTTTGTTTCAATTCATGGCGCAGGACAATTGGCCAGGACCTCATCAGGCATCAAGGTATAATTCGGTGCGACCGGGGGGACTATTTCATTTTACGGCCAAAGTGGCGGCATTTGCATAAAGTTTTATTTTCTTTGACCCGCACTTTCGTTTTGGGTATTGGATTCTTTGGTCCGAATATCCTTGTTCCGTGTTCCTTGTTATCCCTGGCTGCTGATTTCCATTTCTTGTCGTCGTCATCGTACTCTGTCGCCAGGAAGTGATTTCCTGCAGCTGCAGCTACGATTGAAATTCAATATCTTTCGGTCTGTCTTGGGCCTCTTCCAGGGCTGGGGACATGGGAATGGGAATGAATGTCCTATCCCACAGGGGGATAGACAATTGAGTGTGGGGCATGAATATGTCTGTTAAAGCCGGAAAGATCCATTGGTTAAGCTTTAACAAATACTCAAACCTACAGCCGCACATCACACATCATTCCATTCCATTCACATCATTCCACTCCCTGCAGGACCATGAAAAAGGTAATTTGAAAATCAAACAACGCCAGGACGTTGCTGAGGCTGATGCTCCTTCGGTTGTTGGCTGTGCAAATCCTTTCAATTGCTGCAATTTACTGGATAAATAGGATCAAAATCGAATTTAAACGGCAAACAAATTTTCAGCTGGCTCGTGATTTTGAGTTTTTTCTTGCTGCTGTTGTTGTTGACAGAACTTTTCACTTTTCTTCACTTTTCACTTAGTCTCGCACTCGTATGTTGCAGGAATAGGCAGATTATGCCACAGCCGCCCCCACGACGATGGCTACAACGATACAAGGGGCATACAGCGGGGTGGGTTGTCTACACACCTAAATACCCACACCACCAAACCCACATGAGGGCAAACATGAGCCCACTCTGTAAACCTGCCCCGCCTCTAAACACAATTTGCATACATATGCGTTTTTCTGGCGTTTTTAAACGTCTTTCACCTAAGAGGAGCGAGCTAGCGGTTTTACTGCGTTTTTAAACGCTTAAAAGTTACGCTTTGCATATTCGAACGTGCGGTTTTCTAGCGTTTTTAAACGCTGATGCGTTTTCGTAGCGATTTTGAGGAAATATTATTTTAAGACCGTTTTTTTGTGCAATTTTAGTCGCCTTATATTTCCAGAGGTGACTTTCAAGCACGCGACTTGCTAGCGTTTTTAAACGCCTAAAATGTAAATCTAACTTTAAGGCCTCGCAAAAATATTTTAATTAAATTTACGCATTTTCATCACCCGAATGGGTTTCTCCCCTCATGATGCCAAGTGGCAGAAACTATTTACGTGCCCCGAAACAAAAGTGAAATCATTCGATTTTATTTATTTTCACTCCAAAAAGTTGTTTTCCCCACCCATCGCTTCCATTCCATTCTCTTTCCTTCGAGAGGAGGCAACCGGCGAAAACCGAAGAAAACTTTCAAGAAAACTTTCTTCTTGCTCTTCTCTTCTCGCTTTTCGTTTTTCCACCCACAAACATAAACAAGATTAATTTCACATGTTTTCCACGAAATGAAGGATGTTGGTGGGGCAGGGGACAAGAGAGGCAATACGGGGGGGAGAGTGGGTTAGAAGTTATTACTTTGATTATGTTTATTCTAGTCATGGAAATCCGTTCGAATGCCCGTTTCATGTGCACTTCATTTAATAAGGCACCCAACCCATTCCTTCCCCATTCGTGGAGGGATGCCGCGAATACTCGCAGATACATTCCTTGGCATTTTTGTCTGCTGCTGTTTCTACTTTTGTGTGATTAGCCAAGTGAAAAAACAAGAGATTAGGCGCGACAAACTATTTTCAAACTTCATTTGCGACACTCGAATGGAGGAATCCACAGCTCCCGCTTCACTCTTGAAAGTTCTTTAAGTACTGGAGGTGTGTGCACCCACAACAAAATACGAATAAGTCTTCCCTGAGATACATTTTGCCATAACGTCTTGAATGGCAGATTCGAGTAACTTTAGTGGACATTTGGGGGAAGCTTCTGAGTCGCTTTTTGGAGTGGAATTTGACTGCTTCTGAAGATTCTTCCTCTAGTATACCTTCACTTCCCCAATTTAATCTCTCTTCAGTCAATTTAGGTCACTTTATGCTGAAGGATGCCGCGTCAAATCGCCCGTCAGTGATCGACAGAATCATCGTCTAAGATCTCTCCCCCTCTCTTTCTCTGCCAATTTGCTGGGAAAATTGGCCAACATCCAATGTGTTCCACTGCATAAGCCACAGCAGACCGAACAGCACGCGCATAAGTATCTCTATCTCTATCTGTATTTCTGGGGCTGGCAGTATCTTTGGTGCAGGCAATCTCCGTCTCCGTTGGCGACTCTTAAGTGCTTTTAATTTCTGGTGTGTCCACTTAAGTCTCAATATCGCCCGACGCCAACAGCTTCCGAAGCGAGCAAATCACACAAAGAGCCAAAAGCCAGCAGCCAACAGCCATCAGCCACCAGCCACATGCCACACGCAGCGCAGCGCTCGAGGCTAGGAGGATCGCTTCGCTTCGCTCCGCTCTGTACTCTAAATAAAGCATAACAATTTATGAAATTTTAATTTCTTACACTTAATAACAGGCCGCCGAGTTATGGGCGTGAAACGAGGGAAACGCATGAAGCGTTGGGGCTGGGTAGGGCAGGGCGACGCGTTGCTTTCTATAGAGACATCAGCGAGTGAGACGTTAAGGCAGGTGGCGGCTGCTGCTGTGGCAACTTGTGTGGCAAGAGAGCAGCGCAGACGTTGGGCGCAATTAGAGATGCCCCACCGCCTATATTTGGAGGCGGTCCCATACCCCTGTGCCATGCCGCGTCCCATCCGTGGTAGATTAGCAACGGATTAAATGAATTTATGCCGCTGTCTAATGCTGTCTGATGGGTTTATTAGACGAATCCGCAAGGTAGCTGACACGACAGAGGAAGGGAAACAGGAACGGGTATGAATTGTCGGACTAGTCGATGGATTCTGCTGCCTCGCTCGACAGTTGCCTCACTTCGTGGAGCATCTGATCGATGAGGATCTGCTGCTGTGCCTCGAAACGTGATTGGAGACGCTGCTGCTCCTCCGCCTGCTGGGAGACGAGTGCCAGGAAGCGTTGGCGCTGCTCCTCCTGCTCCTGTGCGATCGTCAATATGGAGGATGCCGCCTTGGCCGTACTCGAAGGTGGCTGAGTGGGTCCTCCACCCCTGGCCCTGATACAGGGGGAAGGCTGCTTTCCCGCGACCTTTTGCTCCGCATCCCGCATGAGGGAGGCCTTTGGGTCGTAGCTGCGCCTGCGCTGCGTGGCGCTGGTCAGCGAGGGAGAAAAGGCGTGGCCGCAGCACGAAACATTGTGGGGCAGGGCACGGCGTCGCGGCGAAAGCGAGAATCTTCCCTTGGCCTTGGCCCCCTTTCCCTCCTGGCTTTGTCTCTCCTGCTTTGAATCGTTTTTGAGCTCTTTCTTCGGGGCTTCCTTTGGCCTTTCTTTGGGCTTTTCCTTTGGCTCTTCTTGTGCCTCACTTTGCTGCTTTTTGTTTGCGCCACAAATTGGTTTCTTTGGGGTATTGGGACAGCTGTGGACGACGGTGTTCTGCCGCTTCCACAGCTGTGGGTGGAGCCTCAGGCTGCACTCGGTGTTCGAGCTCTTCCGCTGAAGATCCGACTCTGTGTGGCTGTGTGGCATTCCCTGGAGGCTCGTTTCTGTGCTGCAGTGTGGCATACGCTGTAGAATGGGATCCGTGTTGGAGCGCAGCAGTGGAGCAATCTGGAAGACGCCCCACGGTATGGCCTTGGCCACTTGAATGAGGTTCATCGCGTGCTTGTGCTCCAGCCTCAGGTTCTGTCCCTTCTCCTGCTCCTCTCGCTCCACCACACTCAACTTTTGCGTGATTCTGCGTGGGCCAGCAATCAAGGGCTTTGCGGGGGGCATGGCACGGGCGACGAGGCTTTTGTTGGACACCGCAAAGAGCGGGCCACACAACTTCACCGCCGCCCGCTGTACAGCCATCAGAGGTGGCTCCTCGGACAGCAAGGGGAAGGAGGCGATGGTTGTTGGCGTCGGTGTGGGGAATTTGATGATCCTGTTGAGGCTATTGTCGTAGATCACAGTCTTTGAGCGTTGCAGCTGCTGCGGGATGCGTCCCAAAACAATTAAAGGGGCACCTTCAGCCTTTTTTGGCTCGGATTTTCGTTTAGGGGAAGGCTTGGGCTTGCATTCATTCTTCACCTTCAAGTACCCCTCGATGGCCAAGGCGGTGGCACGATGTTGCTGCATTTCCCGCCGTCGCTGGGGTGTCATCTGCGGATGATAAAAAGATTAATCAGTAGGGGCTGGCATTTTGCGTGGCTTTTCGCATCTCTTACCAAAGGTGGAAGAATGGCTGAATCTTCATGGCTGTAAACGGAAACATATTTGGACTCCGGCTGCTGCGCCTCTTGCAGTAATTTCTGCCTCTGCTCGTTGACCAATTGGTGCCAGTATTCCATCTCTTTTTTTTTCTGTATTTTAATATATTTTTTTGAATATTTTTTGTTTTAATTTTAATTCTCGTGTGGAGCTGAAAAGTAAAACGAAGCGAAAGGAAACGAAATGTAATTAAATGAAATGATTTGAGAGGAAGTAAAATGGAATGGAATGGAATGTTTGCTACAATAAACATCAGCAAACATCAACAAACATTTGACATTCGTGGAATGATTGCCTCGATTCGTTTCGATTGCTTTGAATTCCAATTCGAATGCTGCCTCTCCATGCATTTGGCTGACAAATGCGCCGCATGTCCATGCCTGGAGCGTGCCACAAAAGGTGGTATGGTGCGTGGAGAGAGCATTCAGGCATGTCCAGCCAACAAACAAGCAGCGCAAATAAAGTCCACTCCATTACCGGCGGGACTTCAGGACTCCAGGACTACTCCCATGTGTGCGTCCCCTTTGTGTGCATTTTCTTCGTTTTTTGGCTTTGACTTTGGCTCCGGAAATTTGTCTTGCGGCTGGTCCTTGCTCCTTGGAGGTGTGATTTGTTTTTTAAATTTTCCGGCTAGAACTTCCTTCAGGAGTTTGGCCAATTTGTCCCTGGAATTTCTTACGTGTGTGTGGACCCTTGTTTTCTTGCTTTTTTTTTAGAGGACCTTTGCCATGGCAGTCACGTAGCATTTTCACTTGCATCCTCGTCTTAGCCCATGCCAAAATGACATGCGACAATTTTCCACTAAATTTGCTCCGTCAAACATATTTTGTGTGCGGGAGGCCTGCCAGACGTAAGGAGCAGGAGAAGGAGCAAGTCCTGCCCCTGCTCCTGCCTCTGCTCTTGTTTTCATAAAGAATTCAAATTAATGCATTAACAATCTGAAGAGAGCGAGATAAGCGAGCAACAGAGGAAGGGAACGGAAGGGAAAGGCGGGTTCCTCTCGCCAGGTAATAAACGAAGAACTTCAGTTCGTGCCACAGTCTGTGGCAGTCAGCAATCTGCTTGAAGTGGCAGTTAGGGAGCGTGCCAAGTGCCACGGATTACACAAAACACGGAACGGGGGAGTGGTTGGTGTAACCGCCACAAAGGTATTTATCCCCATTGTGCCGGCTTCGTGGATTGGATTAAGTGCTGCCTGCTCTCAAATTAGGTGAGTGTCGTCACGTGACACAAGATGTGGCAGGAAGTTGAAGCAGAAAATGAGACTGAAGTTGGGCCTAAACATGGGGAAGAGATACAGGAGGAATGTACCACCCAATGGGAGGTTGAACTCAAACAGAAAAGAGGAGAAACAGACTAGAATTCCGCTCTCTAAACACAGCTTAACCCATTGAAGGACCTGCTGGAGTCCCGCCAGACGACAGGCAGACAAAGACCGAGACCGAGACAAAGACAGATAGATACACTCTGCACTGCTCTGCTCCGGTTACACTTCATAAATTTAAAGAATTATGAGCCGTAACGCAGACGGGAAACGGAATGCAACCGCAATGGCACGACACGTCCGTGTCGGTGTCCACCAGCAAAAAGGAGCAGCAGCAAAACCGGAAGAATGGGAAGGGAGACCAAAAGGGAGCCCTGAACAGGTAATAACGGTTGCACGATTGGTTGCTCCTGACAATTTCTCTGTGAAATTTACAAGCTTCACTCCAAATGGGCAATGGAACCGAGAGAAGCGCTGGGAGACGGACACAAACACTGAGGGAAAATATACTTTCAACATTCTTCCACTTTAAACTTACCTAAAAGGTTTGTAAATGTATAATCCAAAAAATCTATGCAAGACTACAAGCTAAAAGATTTCATTTGTATTAATTCCTTTCACTTTTTTGTCAGTCATTGCAGCTGGAAGCTGACGTGTTAGAATCTTTAAGAGTTGCAATCATATATGCAAAAAAGGGTTGCCTGCCCCTCTGCTCATCGATTTTGTCATTCGCATGTTCACGTCACAACTATCGTATGATTTTTCTCTGAGAATTTGAATAAATTTGTGTAAAGCTCAAAAACCGTTGTAAGAATCGAGAATCTTAAAGAAAAGTTATGCATTTATCGATTCAAATTATTGTTTCATTCAAAATGCCCAAGGAATTTCTCTCAGCGAGCTCTCTGATTGATTTTGCACTCTATGATTCCCTCAGTGAGTCCCAGAGCCACGCAATGTATCGGATTACCGCAGCTGCAGCATGAATTCTATACCCAGTTCCCAACTTTGTCTCTAAATTGTTCCCTCTCTTCCATTGCTTGACAATTTTATGATGCCCATAACTCGATGCCGCATACAAAATACGTAGACTACCCACCGTTTTTATGGGCGGTACAATCGATGGCATTGATTTTTGCCAGATCAGATTGTTGCTTGAGGCTTGAGGCTTGAGGCAGGGACTTGCACCCTCAAGTGGAGGTTGAAGTTCAAAGTGACGCGACGGCAATCGCTTTAATTGAGTTGCGCCAAGGCCTTGTGTCTTCGTGTGCCTCATGCATATGCGGGGCTCAATTAAAAGTGCGCCAAGAAAAAGACCGAAAGACAAACAAAAACTGAACTCCTTTGCCTTTCAGGGGGAAGCCATAGCCATAGCCACAGCCACAGCCGCCGTCTGGGTCTGGTACTGATTCGAAGTAGATGTCTGCAAGTGACTCGAGCCTTGAGTCCTGAGCAGTCCTGTGTGTCTTGAGAGTCGAGTCCCCTGTCTGTTGACATTTCGCGGTATGGAAAAAATTAAATTAAAATGCAAATTAGGCATTCCTGTGGCTGTGGCGTCTGGATTGCAATTCCCCCTTTCTGCTGCCTCTCTGGCAGCAGGTCCTTGAGGAGCAGGCAGGCAGCAGGTTACACAAAAAAAGTGACAAATTGTTGTAAACACTGCAAACGTTATGTATACGCCTCATGGGACCTACAGGAAGCTCCTCGACTGTCACCTACTCAAAGGAGGAGAAGGAGGAGAGGACTTAGTGCTTGCTACCTAGCATTTTATTTTATTTTGTGTATATTTTTGTTTACTCTTAAGATGTCCTTGGGTCTTGTCTCTGCTGCCAAGATGAATGGTTTTTTTTTGCCTTTGCCCCTTGACTTCTTTTTTTTGCGGTAAATTATGCAAAGTAGTTGCGTAATGCCCTTGTTACAATAATTTAATCTTGTAATCTGTTTCTGTTTCTCTACGTTTCCCCCTTGCTGCCGCTCCTCTCTGCGGAGGTGCCCCGAGAAAGCTGCAAGTGCCATAAATAATTCACTCCAAGTTGCCTCTGCAGGATGCTCCTGCTTGAGATGTTTCCTTCAAGCGAAGGCATCTTCAAGAAATCTCCTTTCGCATTTTTAATTTCAAGGTAAACACAAGCCGAAGCAGCCAGAAACGGAATCCTAATGAGCGGAGTCCTTCACTCAAAGGTGACTCTAGAGCAGGGCACAGCCCTCTATCTTCCTCACTCTTTGTGCTCCTCAAAGATTGACATTTCAGCGCGGAGCAAACGCCGTAATTCAATTTCCGCGCAAGCTGAAAGCTGAAACAAAAATAAAAGTAAAAGGCACAAAGTTTTTCCAAAAAGCCAACCCCTTTTGCCATTTCTGATTGCGAGTGGGGAGACGGGGTGGAATGGGTTGGAAGGATTATCTGTGGCTGGCTAATTATGGTAGCATCCTTTGAGAAGCAGGTCCGACCCACTCCACCATTCCCCATGCCCATCCTACCCCCAAGGAGCACACGTTGGGCCATAAATCAGCTGCCAGAAAAATGTAAATCCAGCGAAAAGCGAAAAGAAATCGCAGACAACATAAAATTTCAATAACATTCTTGTCTCCGTGCCACAAGGTGCACAACCCAGAGGCAATAACATACACATAGAAATGGGAAGAGAAAGGGAGGAGAAAGTAGCAGCAGAAGGAGGAACGGAAGCAATACACGTTGACACGTCGCACGGATACAAAATGTGGCGCTGTTAGTTCCGCAGCTAGACAAAGGACCTGAAAGCAGGACCAGGAGAGCGGAGCACATTGGAGGAGCGTAATGTAACGGAAACTCTATTGAATTGCGATAAAAATCGCGTTTGCCAGGCTGGAGCTGACGGCAGAGGGAAGGGAGGCAGATACGACGGGTTTAGCCAGTTTAAAGGATACTTTGCGGCTTGTCAACAGGCGGCAAAATTTATTGCAAATGTACGCCAAAAAGAGTTGCACGAACTCTACGATATGTGTGTAGAGATGTGGCAAGGGTATGGACGGAGGTATGATGATTATGGGTAGAAGTTGGGTGTGGTGGAAGTATGTTTTAGGGATGGATATGATGGGAACTAGCTCATGGGTGGGCATAGATGTAAGAGGAGGGTGCAAAGGTGCTTTAAAGTGAAGACTTGTAATTTGTTTGAATGGAAAATCTCTTAAATCCAATCAAAAAACATACGAAACCGGGATAGAACAGTGCTTTCTGGTGTCTTCCGTCTTTATTTATGTATATTTGTACATAATTTATGCTTTAACTTATTTATTTATTCAACGCCATTTAATCCCTGCAACAAAGAGTGGCCAGCATTCGTTTTACTTGCCTCTAGTTCTCGCTTCTACAAGTGTTGAATCTTGCTATGCTGTGCTCCTGCTGACAATGTTATCGTTACGGTTATTGATTGCAATTTTTACACTCTGCTGCCACACATATGCTAGCCTTTGCCCCCCGTGGGAGTAGGTGGAGCTGGAGGAGCGTCGCACAGGAGAAGGCGACAGCTGTTGCCACTACTTGGCTGACACTGTGCCTGTGGCTGTGTTTTTGCAGGCAGGTATGTCCCAGCCAACTCCTACTCCGCAAGGAACTGTGCTACACGCACATCCTGTCACTTGCAGGACCTAAGCACAGCAAAGATACACCGAGAGACAGAGAGGTAGAGAGACAGGCATAGATGGACAATGGCCACATCAATTGTGCATTTCATTTAACTTGCCACGCCCGTGTGACTTTTAAGTGTTGCCACACACCCCCCCAAGCCCACAGCTATGCATGCTCTTCATTTGCACCCCCTTTAGCCCTCACCCCTCTCTGTGGAGAATCCCTGCTGCTGGACATGACAGCTTCTGC